GCGTATCTCGCACATTGCAAGGAATCAAGTATTTAATTCTAGGGAAAAACACATAGGAGTTCAATACCATTTTGTCAGAGAGGTAGTAGAAGAAGGAAGTGTGGGTATGCAGCAAATTCACACTAAAGATAACCTAGCAGATGTGATGACGAAGCCGATTAACTCTGATAAGTTTGCATGGTGTAGGTCTTCCTATGGCCTATTAGAAGCGTAATCAACATGAAGTTGGCAAGGTAGAGATGATTTTGGAAGATCACAAATGTGACTTTAAGTGGAAGATTGTCAAAGATTATGGTCATAGTCAAATTATGTGGTCATGGTAAACGATTTTGGTCAAGGATTATGGTTGAATAAAATCACAATTTGTGGACCAAGAAAGAAACACTCATGGTTTTGCACCCATGGTTTTATAACAACTTCCATGGTTTTGTGAAGATGAGGAGCTATAAATAGAGGTGCATTTCTTATTCCTAACACAACAACACAAAGCATTGCAACATAACATAAAAGAAATTTGTAGATAGATAGAATATATTGTATTTTCTCTATAAGGTTATTTTAGTGAGTATTCTCCTATTACAAGAGAGAGTGTAATTAGTTCTCTCCTTGTATATAAAGAGAAGTGTTGTATTTCTTCCACTTAGTGAAAATCTTTTCTACCGGTGCCCGTGATTTTTCCCTCATTTGTTGAGGAGTTTCCACGTAAATATTTCGTGTCACTTTTCCTACTCCTTAATCTCTTATTTTGTTTTATCTTGCTACTCTGATACCCAACAATTTATTCAAAAATTAATATCTGAGATTATAACTCAACATGCTTATTTCAAAAATTGTGAAACTATTTATACCCTCTGAAATCTTCTATTAATCTGAAATTGTGATTTTTCATGAAATTGTTTAGCTCAATAGATAGTTTCTTCACAAGACCATAACCATGTATCATAACGCCGGTGCATATCTGCAAGTTATAAAAGTTTGTCTATTATTTGACATAGTCTGAATAAATTATCTAACTAAGCGCTCATAGAATAAGGGTTTATCACATGACTATTTTATGTATAAATATTTATCATAGCGAAAATCATGTTCAAGATCGAAGAGCATCAAACTATCAAGCATTGACACAAACACGATTCTAATGCGTTGACATTTGACGTAGGTGATGATTTAAAATGAAAGTGATTTAATATAACCATATTTGTCGAATTCACATTTATTATAGCATCAGACAGACAATGATAATAGTATTGGAATGCGAGATTAAAAATTTAAACATGGAACCAAGTAGACCAAATGTATCAAAATGGCATAAAAATTGATTCTTGCATCATACCTAGATAGTATTTGCACCAAGAAGAATAAACTCAACAACATAACCACCTGTCTCAACACCGCCAATGGCAGAAAATGAATAGTTCTCACTATCAAACTTCACTTTCATCATTTTTGCAATACTCATAACCTTCCCAAGGGCGATCAGATGAACTGCTTTCTCAAAATAACCGTTTGGAGTTGAGTACCTGACATCAAAATTTATAGAAATCATGTGATTGAAAAACACAAAGCAGATAACACAAAGCTATAACACAAATAGTCGCAAATAGAAATAGAAAGACCTCAAATATCTATCTATAAAACTCCAAGACCCGATCACTTTTTTTGTAAACAATAAATCAAAACCAACATAAATAATTGGTATTGATATACCAAACATCGCAAGGATTGTAATACTATTGATTTATAGTTTTAAGGTGTTAAAAAGGTGTCGAGCAGTTTTTCATATTTGAAATTTTAGGCTATGATTGAAAACAATATATAAGTGATTTTTCATACAATAACTATTTAGGTTGAACCACAAATACAAAAAGAGTAGTTTTAAGAACTTGCGTATTTCACATGGAATTGACACTGACTTAAAGAATATGAAAGAAGTTGTATATAGTTCAGAAAATTGATAAACCCTAAAATTAAAAACAACCAAATACTACCTATTTGAATATCATAAGATGCTCTTTTCTAATATTCTCTTTCTGTCTTCTTCCATGGGTTTATCAAACTCATGCTTGATGTGTTGTTGAGGTGTTAATGGAAAGTGAAAAGCGAAAATGGAAGACGGTGTTCTAACTTGTTTATAGTGAAAAGAAAAGAGAGGAGGAAATGAAAATAGGGTAAGGGAAGGAAGAGAGTTCAGAACTCTAGGTTTGTGGAGAAAAACAGAGAAAACAGAGAAAATGGCGGCGACAGATTTAGGGTTTAAGGGGGAAAGGAGAGAAAACTGAGAGTGAGATAAATAAGGAGCGTGAGAGAAAATAGGATAGAACGAGACAAAAGCGGAGAGAGAATGGTTTTGGTGGAAAAGAGAAAATACTTTTATTTAAAGTAGTCAATGGTTGATTGACATTTGTCATGCAAATAGAGGTTTGTGTGAGATTTATTTGTGACATTTGTTAATTACTCATATGTCCAATTAGTATTGTAAATAAAATTTAGGGAAAGGACAATTATGGAATATCATGCAATAATATTTTGAAGGGTTGATAGTAGACTTGTCTTTCCTTCAATTTATTCAACTAGATAATTGTTCCTTTTTAAACTCAATGATACTACCTCTGTCACAAATTATAAGACGTTTTGATCATTTCACACAAATTAAGAAACTTAACTTTCGTTTCTTTTTATAAGAGACAACTTACTTTTTAGATTCATTGAATAATTAATGTATCTAGTCTAAAAACTGATCAAATACATTAGTTATGGAATGAACCTATAAAGTGAATTATCGCTTTTAAATAGGAACAAAGATAGTAATAAATATTTAAGAGTATATTCAAAAAAATATTATTAATATTGCATTGAAAATATAAGGTGACTTATAATTTAGAATTTTTTTTTTTTACAAAACGACTTTAATTTGGGATAGAGGGAGTCATTTACTTTGCATTAATTCTGCCAATCTTATTTTTGTTCTTCTCTTGAGAAATAACACTTTAGCTTTTTTTTTTTTTTTTTTTTTTAATTTTTTTTTAATTTTTTGTTTTGTCATGACTATTACTTTACTTGTTAGTGGGAAGGCTACCACAACAGCTATTACAACTCTGTTAGGTGGCAGCATAGTTTATCATTTTCAATATATTTCTCTACAACATGTTATTTCTGTTGGGTTGGGATCCTCTCCATTTCTTTGTCCCTCCATTTTTTTTATTACTATAGTTTTTATATATATAAAATCAATTAAATATTAATTATATGTCACATGTCTTAGAAATGTGTGTTATTTACACACAAAACTATAGTAATGGAGAAAATGGAGGGACAAAGAAATGGAGAGGATCCCATCCCATTTCTGTTCATCAACTAAGAGCATGATTAACGATGGAAAAATATTGTTTCTGCACTTGTTCCAAGACTACATTGCCAGAGTATAATGGATAATTGAGAAAAATAGCATTACTTAGTTTTTGACCGTTATGTGGCTAGCAAACGTTTTTATCTGCCAGCATGGATCAAATAATTAATATAAAAATTTCAAATAAAATTATTTCAATAGTTATTTTCATGTTCCAAGTTTTTTATATTGTATTTATTACCAACGGATAGATAGAAAATTGAATGAGAAAAATTCTAACGGCTAGTTTAAAAAATTAACGATAATTTTTTATAATCTTATAAATAAATTACTAAGTATATTATATTTTTATTCACAATTAGTCTAATATTGAACTATTGATTTTATCTCTTTTTAATTTTTTCTTTTTACACATTTTTTGTGTTAATGGATCTCAATCAACACAACTCTTGGTCTAATTTTATGCAAAATAATGGTAGCTCTCACTCTATTCCAAATCAACAAAATAACTCATACCTTGAAAATGCACATTTTTTCTCAAATTCACACCATAATCCAAAATTTTAAAACTCTCAATTTATCCCAAATTTACAAAATAATCCACACTTTGTAAATTACTCATATTATATATCATCTTATCCATATCAACATGAATCATTTATATCTCAATCAACTAACCTCATGAGACTCAAATAGGTAGTAGTGGTACGCAATCAAATGATCAAAAACGTGAAACATCACAATTTTGCTCTCAATGCAGCTTAAAAACTATTAACTCTGGTGAAAAAGTTGCATCCGCGCCAGTTGTGAACACGCATAAATAAAAATTCCAACAAAAAAAAAAGGATAAAATGCTCATTCAATCATGGCTCAACGTTTTAAAAAATTTAAAATTATATAATAGGAAAAACATCTAACACAAATTTTAAATATAAAATTAATCACTTCAGCTAATATAATAAAGAAGGCGGTTCTCATCTCTATTCGATTAGCATAATACATTAGTATTTTTCTAATAATAAAAATTAAAATCAAATTAAACTAACAATTCTTCTATAATAGATACAAAACTATATAATAGAAAAAACATCTAACACAAAATTTTTGAATATAAAATTAATCACTTCAGTTAGTATAGTAATAAAAGTGGTTCTCATCTCTATGTTTGATTAGCATAGTATATTAGTTTTTTTTTTCTAATAATAAAAATTAAAGTTAAATTAAATAACATAAATATTTATGATAATGACGATGAGTTATAAAAATTAATTATAGTTGGTTCGAATAAATAGATAGTAAGTATATTAGAAATATAATATCCGAGTCAATTATCATCATATTTTATTGATCTGGTTCGATCTTTATTCGAACTAAAAAAAATTACAACCTAAATATTATGGTTTGGTTTGAATTTTAGTACACCCTATCAAAAGAGATGGGAGGTGTGGCAATAAATTGCTCCAATAGCTTTCTATTGATAAAATGGTTAGAAGTAAACACCTAGTTCAAATTCAGAAGCCCAAACCAAAATAAAAATAAAAAAAAACTAAACCCTAAAACCCTAATTTACATTTCTCTATCTATCTCACTCAAATTCTCGCTTCATTTCTTCTCAATTTTCAAATCTCAATCCCTCGATTCGTTCTTTACAACAATGAGATATCAATGGCGCGTTCTTCATCTTCTTCTCCGCACTCACCACAAAATCCCCAATCAATCTCAGGTACTTCGCTCTTTCTCTTCCACTCCTCTTCGTTTCAACCCCAACCATTCCAAATTCCATATAAACCCTAGTTTCCGTCATTTCTCTTCCGAACCCGTTCTCGCAGACGTTGATTCCGATCACACTCTCATCATCGATGTATTCTCGAAACCTCGAGATCTCGACGACGTTAAGAAACAACTCGATTCGAATAATGTTTCGATTAGCCACGACGCGGTGAATGCTGTTTTGAGGAAGCTTCAGTCTGATCCCGATTCAGCGAGGAGGTTTTTTCAATGGTTATCGGAGAATCATCCTGAAAAGCTGAGTTCCAGATCATATAATGCGATGCTGGGCGTTTTGGGAATTAACGGAAGTGTTGAGGAGTTTTGGGATTTGGTTGGGGTTATGAAGAAAAAGGGTTATGGTGTTTCAAAATGGGTGAATGATAGAGTGTTGGAGAGTTTTGAAAAGGCGGGATTGGATGGTGAGGTTGTGAAGTTGAAGGACTTGTTTAATAAAGAAACTGCTGAGAGGAAAGTTTATAATTTGTGTAGGATTGTGAGGCGGAATGTGTGGAGTGATGATGTTGAGAAGGAAATTAGGGATTTGAATGTTGGGTTTTCGAGTGAGTTGGTTAAGTTGGTTTTGGAGAGTTTAGGTTCGGAGCCGAATAAGGCTTTGATATTTTTCAGGTGGGTGGAAGAGAGTGGATTGTTTAAGCATGATGAATGCACGTATAATGCGATGGCGAGGGTGCTTGGAAGGGAGGATTCGATTGATCGGTTTTGGAAGGTTGTTGCTGATATGAGGAGTGCTGGATTTGAGATGGAAATGGAGACTTTTGTTAAGGTTTTGGGACGGTTTTGTAAGAGGAGAATTATTAAGGAGGCTGTTGAGCTTTATGAGTTTGCTTTAGCTGGTGCTAACAAGCCTACGCCGACGTGCTTTACCTTTCTGTTGAGGAAAGTCGTTTCTTCTAAGGAGTTGGATATGGATTTGTTTTCGAGAGTTTTGAAGGTTTTTACCGGGAATGGAAGTACTTTGACAGATTCGATTGCTGATGCTATACTGAAATCTTTAACAAGTGTTGGTAGGATTGGGGAGTGGAATAAGGTTTTGAAAGAAATGGAAGATTGTGGGTTTGTTGCTAGTGGTAGTTTGCGGAGTAAAATTGCGTTTCGACTTGGTGTTACCGGTAAAAAAGAACAAGCTGATGAGTTTGTGGATAGAGTTGAAGCATATGGGTCAAGTCCAGATCACAAGATGCGTAAATCTTTAGTCGAGGGGCATTGTGTAGGTGGGAACCTTGATAAGGCATTTGATTCTTTCAAAGAGATGGTTGAGAAAGAGGGAGTTGCATCTGCAGGATATACTTTTGATTTGTTAATGAATTCATATTGCCAAATGAATAAAGCAAAAGATGCATATAAGATTCTATGTCAATGGGTGAATGAAAAAGAGTTAAAGCCTCGGCATTCTACTTACAAGCTGCTGATAACCAAGTTATTGGCTCAAGGAGGATTCAAAGATGCCTTAAATCTTTTGGCTGTAATGAGAACTACTGGATTCCCACCTTTTACCGAACCCTTTATCGAACACATATCAAAGCGTGGAAGTGGTGATGACGCTGTTCTGCTACTCAAGGCAATGACCTCGAAGAAGTTTCCATCTACATCTGTTTACAATGTAATGTTTAACGCCTTCTTCAAGCAAGGAAGGCACGGAGAAGCACAAAATTTCCTCTCCAAATGTCCAAGCTACATTCGTGATGATGCTGATGTCTTGGATCTCTTTTGTTCAATGAACTCTAAAAAAGCTGCTGCCGCATCTGGTATGTTGGCTGTTTAAGATTGCAAAATGTATCTCATATTGTACTCTCCAGAAGATTTTGCAATGGCATTTGTTCAGCAAATTTGGTGAAAATTTATTCTCTGTCCTTGATTATTGATCTGAGAAGTTGAACCTAGCTTTGAATAAGGCCAAAGAACCCAAATAAAATTTTGACAATCTAATTTGTTTCCATGCAATTTGTGTTTCACATGTACCTCACAGTAAATGTCTCCAGCATCATTATAATGTTGATTTAAAGACAACAAACATTATAATACAATTTGTAGTTTTCTAAACAATCTGGTATATACTTTGTAGTTTTCTAAACATTCTGGTTTCGGCCGACTTAATATAGACCGTAGATCAATATGATGCTACAGGAACAGCTTTTTTTAGACATACAGTATTAATACAATTTGTTCCCAAATGAAGTTGGTTCGTGTGTTGTTTTGAATATCATTATCAAAGACTGATTCCTTTTACTTTGTTACTTGTTTTGCAATAGTAATGCAACGCATTCAAAAGCTCCTAAACTTGGTTAATTGTTATTAGGCTTTCTTGAGCTGTTTCATGTAGAATTTTAACGTTGACACTATTTTAATGAAAAAAGTCTTGAAGAATTTAAAGGATTTTGTAGGATCATATTCACTTTTCAGATTTTTTTAAAAGATAGTTTACAATTAAGGCTTTTAAGTTTGGATTTCAAAGTATTCAATAATTTTTTTATCAATAAAAGAAACCAAGTAAATAAAAATAGTCATAAATAAAATCTAAAATAAACACAAATGTTCAATTTTTTAATAAGAAAATGATTTTTGCCTAATAAAAAAAATTTAACCTCATATTATTAACATTTTTCTACAAATTAAAAAATAGATTGGTCTTGCATAAATTAATATCTTGTTGTTCGACTTCTTTTTGGTTGAACGACATTCTCATAAGAAAGTTTTTGTGATTAGGGGTGTGTATGGTTTTAAAAACCAAACCAAATTGAATCAAATATATGAATCAGTTTGGTTTTTAAAATCACTTTTATAAAACTGGTTTATTTTTTCAAAACCAGTCTATGTTTGGATCGGTTTGGTTAATAACTGGTTTGCACTAAAAAACCAGTTTTTGTTTGGAACTAATTGTAAAATCAAATTTCTCTCAAATTTATTTCGACTAAAACTTAATTCTTAATCCAACAATTTATTTTTAACTCCATCCAACCATTTTTAAAATTAATAACCATTCATTGGCAGGAAATTGAATTGAATTGAAATAATTAGTAATAATCATGAAAAAAAATGCTAAGGAACCGTAAAAAAAAAAAAACAATTAATTTTCAATTAGAAAAATCAAAATTGAGTAATTACAAAATACTCAATCTCTCTCGCATACATAATTTTCTCTCATTTATATAGAAATCTCTTTTTTTCACCTTTTCAAAAAAATGTTCTTTATATATTATTTTACACTTATCATTTTTCTGACTCCACCCGTCATCACTTTAGTGGAAAATATTTCTAAGAAAAAACATATCAATTTAATAATTGAATTAATTCAAAATAAGAAGCATACAAAAACAACTTAGTAATTATATAATTTCAATATAATAATAAGCATTTAAAATGCAATGTTGAATGTGAGATGAAATACTAAATGCATCATTACGAGACTATGAGAACACAAAGTTCTCTTTAAAAAAATAATATATATATATATATATATATATATATATATATATATATATATATATATATATATATATATATATATATATATATATATATATATATATATATATATATATATATATATATATATATATATATATATATATATATATATATATATATATATATATATATATATATATATATATATATATATATATATATATGTATGTACACACACACACACACACACATTACTTTATTGTCATTTATGACCATGAAATAGAAACAAGACAAAGAACACATTATATTTGAAAAATGGACTAACCCTTTATATATTGGTTTTAAAAAGTGGACACATGTTTTTAATGGTTTTAGTAAAATAAATTTGGACTAATTTTTAAACTAAATAATATGGACTTTTGAAATTGGTGCACCATATTTTCAAATTTGGTTCTTGTGAACCAGATTTTTTGCACACCCCTATTTGTGATTATTAACCGGAACGAAGCAAATCTAAGATGATGGAACAAACTAATCTTAGGAGGACTACAAGCTCCGTCTAAAAGTTAGAGGTGCATGAGTAATATCTTCAAAGATGTGAGAGGGATTGGTGGATTAATGTAAACCTAAGAAATCTATAAATTAGGACTAAGGTGGGTTGAATTAACATGAAATGCTCAACATCCAAAACACCAAGTAAAATAGAACACTAGACGCATTATTAACCATCACTCATAGTTGAGATACAACCCGATTTAAAATGATTCATAACTCCAACCCAAGTAAACAAGAGAACTACATGTAGTCTCTCCACCCTAAAAAGTAAATACAACCTCTACATGTCATACACGTTGCTAGCGGGGCATCCACGAGTTTTGTAAGAACAGTTAACTCTGGGTACAAAAAACTCCTTTTAAGAATAGATATCCTAGACTATTTTCCTGGACAAGGTCTTCCCAAATTTTGTTAGAGAAAGGTTGAAGGTCCTCAACCTCTATTCCCTCATGAAATATATCTCCATCAGAAGTATTAATCCCATATAGAGGACCAGAGCGACCGATTCTAAAACTGGAATAGTGGAATAATTTTTTTGTGTGGACTTTTTAGAATTGACTATTTTTTAGAATAAATATACAAATAATCTATACAAATAACACAATCAGCATAAAAGTTTGATAAAAATCAAATTAATAAAATAAATATGAATTAAGACTTAATTATTTATTCTAATATATATTACTATTATTATTATTATATATTTTGTATTTAATTGTTATTATTATTATTATTATAAAAATCACAATGTTATAGCGGTACAAGCTATATTATTCTCATAAATGATATATGTTCTTCACAATGTACCTTTACAACATCACAGTGTATTAAATATTACTTTTTATAGTTGTACAACTGTAAGTATTAAGCATAACTTTTTTACTTTTCAACCCTTATCTTTTATATCTTCCTCTTCTTTCTATTCTTCTTTCATTTCTTATTGGATATTGTTACTCTTCCTCTTCTCTTTCTTCCTTGTAAAGGGGAAAAATTAAAAAAGAAAAACAACTCAAGTAACCACTCCGCCTAAGGTATGCGACACAACTAGCAATCTGCGATCTCGCCAAATTCGATCGTGATTTCATACGGTAAAACGCTCATCTCTTTTCGCGCGGTGGATGGCTGCTTCGGCCGGACCACCCAGGATGACGCCGTGAGCGGCTGCAATCGACAACTCTGGTCTTTATTGCACTGGTCTGGTCTTGATCTTGCTCGATGGTTTGAACAATAACTTACAAGATTTGATTTTGATGGTGAAATTTATCCATAATGACTTGCATCTTTTCTAAAGCTTCTTGATTATCATATCTCGATGTAACACATGTTGCCACCAATATGAAAATACAACTAGGTTAAAAAAAAAATTTAAAATATGTGGCTCAAAAATATTTTACTGGAGTCTCACACTGGACGCCAACTGTATATGTTATGAGTACAATAGTATACACCCACCCTACCCGAGATAAACCATTCAAATGTTAAATAAACATTATTCCACTTTATCGATTAAAACCTAACTCCATATTTTCTCAAATTTCAAATCTCAATCCCTCGATTCATTTTTGCAACAATGAGACATCAGTGGCAGGTTCTTCAGCTTCTTCTTCGCAATCACCACAAAATTTCCAATCAATCTTAGGTACTTTGCTCTTTCTCTTCCATTCGTCTTCGTTTCAGGTCACCTTTTATCAATTCCAAATCCATGGCTCTAATTTCAATTTCAAACCCATATCTCCCTTTATCAATGTCAAATTCATGACTTCCTTTATCAATTTCAAATCTATTTTCATCACGTTTGACGATGTTAGGTATCTTACTTTCAACTTCTGCACCCTATTCTTATATGTTTTATTATGCATCACAAACCTTCATTAGATAATGGAAAATGAAGGTTAAATCGAATGTGAATGTTAAGTTAACGACTTTGGTATTGAGGGACGTGAAGGTGACGGAGTTAAGACAAACGCCGAGAGAGTTGAGTGAAAAGAGCATTATCAAAAGACAGAAAACAACCAAGTTTGTCATGTAGAATAAAACATATAAGAATAGGAGGAATGTGATGGAAATGGATTTGAAATTGATAAAGGAAGCCATGGATTTAACATCGATAAAGGGAGCCATGGATTTGAAATTGAAAATAAAGAGAACCATGTATTTGACATTGATAAAGGGAGCCATGGAAAGAAGACTTCAATTGAGATGGGTTTTGGAAACTTGTTGGAAAGAAGTCTTCATTAGAATGGGATACTGTTATTAAAGATTTGAGACGGTTTTGTGAGAGGAGAAAGGTTAGGGAAGCTGTTAAGTTTTATTATTTTCCATGCAATTTATGTTTCACAAGTACCTCACAATAAATGTCTCAAGCATCATTCTGGTTTCGGCCGAGTCCTTTTATTTACTGTGTTACTTGTTTTGCAATAGTAATGCAACGCATTCAAAAGCTACTAAACTTGGTTAATTGTTAATAAACTTTCTTGAACAATAAATCACATTGTTTCATGTGGAACTTTAAGGTTGTCTTAGATTGAGATCTCAAGACACTATTTTAATGAAAAAAGTCTTTGTAGGATTATATTCACTTTTTAGATTTTTTTTTAAAAGATAGTTTACAATTAAGCTTTTTAAGTTTGGATTTCAAAGATTTCAATAATTTTTTTTATCAAAAAACAAAGTAAACAAAAATGGTCATAAATAAATTCTAAAATAAATACAAATGTTAAATTTTTTAATAAGAAAATGATATTTTCCTAATAAAAAAAAAAGAAAAGTTAACCTCATATTATCTTAAATAACATTTTTTTT